GCCATTAGACCTGGTACAAGCAATGGCTGCAGTGAAAAAATTACCTGACTGGGCTAGAGAGCAGGATGGGTTAGAATTTCTTAACGATTGAGATTGAAACATTTTATATAAGTGCTCTATTTGTTCCTTTGTGAAAGGAAGAGACTCTGAGGATGATTGTTGTCACTGTCTGATTTTTTCTTCCAACCTGCTGGTTTCCCGTTCAGCTTCCAGCAGGTTTCCCGAGTATGCCATGGCTTTCTACAATGATCACACCAAGGCTTTTGCTTTCCTCCTCGTTTATCTCTGTCTACGTCTGCACCTCGGGCCACAAGAGCGGACCCTTCATTCTCAGTTTTTGTTTCATTAACATTCTTCAACATCACTTGCCGCCGTGCTTCTTCTCTACGCACTTCTGAAAAAACTTCTCTTATAGTAGGCAAGGGCTTTCGCCCTAAGATACGTCCCCCAACCTCATCGAGTTCTTTATTCAAACCAGCTAAGAAGACAAAGACTCGGCCTCTTTCTATCTTCTTTTTGTACCGAGCACTATCACTCGGACTTTCCCATTCTTCTTCTTCAAATAAATCCAGCTCCTGCCAAACAGCCATCATCTCATTATAATAAGCAGTTACTTCACGCTTACCTTGTTGCATCTCCCACATTCGGGTATTCAGTTCGAACAGTTGTGAATGATTGTCCAGATCTGAATAGGTTTCCCTAACAGCTTCCCACACATCGCGAGCCGTTGGCAGGAACATGAATGGTTTTCCATCCGCAGGATCCATAGAGTTGATCAACCAGGCGGTAACCATTGAATTTTCAGAACGCCACTGCCTGTACTTTGGATCATCAGTGGCTGGCAGTTTCACTTCGCCATTCAAATAGCCGAGTTTCCCTTTGTCGTCGATCACCAACCGCACGGACTGAGACCACTCGATAATTTTTTCCATTCAATTTGTGAATGGTAATTTGAAGAGAATTCTCAGAAAGATAAATGGCCGCTAACTGAATACCTCCCTCCGAAGACGTCACACCATTGGTAGCATCCGAAGAGGCTGAACCAAAGCCAACCATGGCGGCCTTAAAATTCATGATTGGACCCTAAAGCTCTGATACCATGTGGCAAAATAAAGAGGAAGAGAAGAAGAAATAAAGAGGGAGAGAAGAAGAAAATCTTCTGTATTGATAATGTGTTGATGAAACATGTTGAGCATACAACTTAAATAAGAAAAGAAAGGAGAGACAAACTCCTAGAATCTCTCTCAATTAGGGATTGATTAAATCTTTCCCTTAATCCTAGGATTTGACTTTCCTAATTTTATTCAAATCTAATCTTTCCTAAATTTATTCAAATCTGTAATCAGTCAAATCAAATCTTTCTAAATTTGCAGCAAATCCTATCTTTCTTAATTTGCCGCAAATCCTATCTTGCCGACACAAAGATATAAATAAACATAAATGTTTTTCTCAAAAAAGAAAAAGAAATGTTTTTCAATGTTGATGACTGATGGGGAAGATGGAGAGTAATGTACAATCTCACATATGATCCAAGAAAAATTAACTATGATTATTCTTTTGAAATTAATATTTTAAAGCAAAAATAGAAAAACTAAAAAGAAAAAACACGAAGACTTAAAAAATTGTAAGTTAAACAGGCATCTAGAAATTACATCTTCAAAGGTAAACGACACATTGCAGCAACAAACAAATAATTAGCAAATACTTTGCATGATACCAGAAATAAGTTCCCAATCTAATGAGCTCTACTTGACTCACCTGCAGGGAGAGAACAACATTTACAGCATCATACAACCTCCTTGAATCCAGTGGTTCACCCACAATGTTTGATGAAATCTTTGACAACAAGAGAACTGCCTGAACAAGAAAATTGAATACACTAAGAAGGTAGTATAAGAACTCCTGAGTCTATACAATAATTTACCTTCAGTCCTTCTGCTGTGCAGTCGGAGATGGGCCATCCATGATCTGCAGTTGAGAACGGCCATGCTCCTTTAGAAATATGGCGATACCAGTAGCTAAGATCACCAGGGCAATCTTCTAAAACCTTCAGTAGAAAAGAAAGCTGATCAAACAGGAAGAAAAGAGGAGTATATGATGGTATATGAGAAATATCTCTCTAAAGAATTAAGGATTAAAATCACCTGTGAGTTTTTTATGTACTCGTGTGCTTTTCTAAGAGTTGGACCATACTCTTCAGTGAGATTAGATGCAATAATTGCTTGAACAGCAAAAGCAGTGTCCCACAACTGACTTCCATTGTATCCCTGTAATTTTATCAAAATGTAAAATGGAACTAAAATTCAGAAATGAATTGAGAAAGTAGGGATATGCAGATAATTGCCAATGGAACCTGCAGTAGGATAAAGATAGATTCCACAGGGCAACGATGTTTTAAACAAGCATACTCTTAAAAGTAGGAATAATATACTTATGAAAATAAATAAAAGGACAAGCTGAGTATTATATCCAAACCTGCATCTTCATGCCATCTTCAGCAATCCACAAATAATCATATATTCTTGGGAGATGCAACTTGAATGCCTCTGTGTTAGGATCTTCTACCCAACAGCAGAGCATATTTAAAACCTGATATTTTTGGTAAAGATCAGTATCTCAGTTCAACAAATGAAGAAAAGATAAACAGGTTATATAATTTTGTTTCCTTGTTTTTTCCTGTTTCATTGGAATATGGAAAACATTCCATCTGTGTGCGGGCATTGGGTATGCATATTAAAGGGTGTAATATAAGACCTATTAGAAACCTATCAAACATAAGTGACATGAACACTAATAAATCATGTTTGTATATGCCACAAAAATCAATGCAGAAGCAAACCACAAATAGTTCATGAGATCATCTTGCCAAAAGAGCAAATAAAGTGATTCAGTTACAAGTTAAATTAATACTAAAGCTGAGATAGTGAATGAACAATATTTTCTCTGAAATTTCTGGATTTACAATTTCTGAAATATGGCCAATCTCCATCAACAAAACGAATTTTACACATGGAAAAAACAAAAAAAAAAATCATTGGTTTCCATGGTATTCATACCTTGTTTACAGGTCCAATGCATATATACCGAGTATTCTCATCTTCATAGTGTATATGTTGCATTACAGTGAATAGAGCTTTCTCCCTCAATTTTTTCCCAGGCCAGCTCATTAGGATAGGCTCAAGAACCTTGTGAAGAGATGCCCAAAGAAGATCCTGTACTAGGGGATGTGGGTAATATAGATCTTCCTGAAATAAAAGTATAAAAAATTTTTTCATGTCTACATGAAGAAGGAAGCAAGAACCATGAATTAAGGAATTATGAAACCGAAATCTTGTATAGAAATGTCTCTTCCTTTCTTCTATTTAATCATTTCTTGCTCATGAAAAAGACAATAGCACAAAGTTCCATTATTGATAAGAAAAGATAATACTGGTTGACAGTGTCAAAATATTAAAGATGATTTAGGATGAACAAACCACACATTTTATCACAACTAATAATAGAATCCATTTCTTCATTCTGATAATCCTCGTTCTATTCTATCTATTTAGTAAGTTATTTATATCCACTCAACAAAGAAAGCATTTGGTCCTTCCAACCAACAAAAACTTTCACTTAACAATTCTGGAAGTTAATGGGACTAAATGCCACTAATTAATTGAGGCAATTTAAATAACATTCGAGTTGCACATGACTGAATATCTCTCATTATAATAAAGAATAATAGAAAACAAGGTCTTCTAGCCTAAAAAACACAGCACAGTAGATGGCCTAGAAGATGGAAATAGAAACCCTTCAAACTAAGCATTGTTTATGGAGTTTGGGAATCACAATTAATTATTCTTGTTATTAGCTAACAATAAAATTTTATTGGAACAAGAAAGAAAAGAGTTATAATGTCATAAGGATACAGTATATTACCATGCATATCAAATCAATTTTATGCATATGACTAGAATTTTAAGAGAAATAAGAATAGGGGGTGCTGATCATACTCATTCTCTAAAAACATACAAGGACGTGAAATCAAGTCTACATGCTAAATAGGGATTCCGAATTTGGCTCCACATTCCACATAACCTAGTAAACCCTCTGGTCATTCTGGTGGCTTGATTGTTAGTTTTCTTGTTGCCTTCTTGCTACTGCACTTGAACAACTGTGGGTCTTCCTTTTCCTCTGTTATCCATCATCCATCGCATGTTGTATAATGCTACATGTTCCATTGTTATGTCTCTAGACATTAATGCAACATCAGGTCCCAACAAGAAAATAGATGATGAGAGAATTAGCACTAAGCATGCTATTATAATCATGGAGATTGGTTGATTGTCACCATACATTATGTTTTTTTTGGAAAGGTAATTGTCACTATACATTCTACGAAATATTTTCTTGATGCAGGGGTATTATAACTTTCTGCAACTTATTCACATGAATAGTTACTCAATAGATTATATGTGAATCCTTCACTTTGAACTATAAAGACATTCTCCTTATGATGTCTGGACACTCACAATAGTGGCCTTGTGCTTCCTTCTGAATGGTACACTAGTTGAACAAGCTCTTGCAATGCCTTTTCCTTCAAACATTGGCACTCAGAACTTGAAAACCGCTAGAATTTGATATACTAATCACAAAATCATACATCGTACTGGCAAATCATCCTTGTCATATATGCAACATTCAGGTTTCCAAGTTTTCTCAAGGAAAAGGTTACGCTTCCACCAACTCAACAAGATTAATTTGTTTGTTATTTTTTCTTTGGCCATGTGAAAACCTTTCTTTATGGATCATACATATATTAGTGGTCTTGAGCCAAATTTCCTTCTCCAGTGATTACTTGTCGAAGCTTAAAGTTTATGCTTTTGTCGCTAAGAGGAGCAACAATTAGAACTTAAACATTTAAGGGCTCAACTACAAGTCAATCTAAAGATACAAATCATGAGAATGCATGAAAGCACTTTGAAACATCAGATTTATTTTATCAATATTGACAACCAAAAGAATTTACTAATAGTGGACTTTTTGAATAGCAAAAATTAAATATTTGATATTGAGGGCCATATCCATAAGTTGACTTTTTCAAGACAGTTTCAGTTATGGTCATAATATTACTGCAAAAGCAGCAATTCCTGTCAATGTTGTGAGACATTTGTAAATATAGTAATGGAAAGACACCAAAGCACTTATTAAATTCGAAATCATACTGACAATATGTTGGTGGTATTTTTCGAAATTCTAGGATACATTGCATAACTAAATTTCATATAGTTCCTTTGGAAAAAGAAGTGAATGATATAACAAAGATATTGAAGATATTCAGGATCATGCATGACCAACCTTTGCACATTGGTTCCTTGCTTGATTCCAATCCACTTCATGATATGGGACTGTATAGAGCTCCTTTCTCAAGGACAAGATTGTTGGTGTGATTGGACCAACAAACCTCTTCCCGTACAAATATGACATTGGCAAATAAACCATCCTGCAGTGGCACCACATCCTTCCTATGCAGCCAGAAAAGTTGAAGCATTTAGAATTAGCATGTATAAGTTCTCCGATAAAAAGTTATATGTACAAAAAGATGTGTAAATCAGAGGAGGATGCTAAGTGGATGATGGGAAAGACCAGAAAGGATAGATTTAGAAACAGGCACAATCAGATAAAACAGAGGCACGTTCTTTTATACAACTCAATAAAGATTAAAAGTTAACAATTGAAAAACAAATAGTGCTCAGAAGTAGCCCCAATAGGTGAAAAGATAAGAAAAAGATAATTAAAATGGATTGCCATGTACATAGATGACAATGACTGCACCAATGAGGAGTGACTTGGTGCAAGTATAAAAAACAAGGGGAAGGCCAATGAAAATGGTGTACTGAAGTGGTAAAAAATGATCTAAAGGCTTATAACTGAGCAGAAAAAATGGCTCTTGATAGAGCATAGTGAGAGGAACAGATGTGTTTAGCTGACCTCAAATACTTGGGTCTTGGGGTTAAGTTTGAGTCGAGTTGACTTGAATTGAGTAAAGCAAATTTTCCTTTTTGATACAGAAAAAATGACAGTTATACTGCAGGAAATACAAAAGGTAATATAGAATGGACACTTTTCTCGAGGACTAGATATTAAGGTCTCAAAGTAAATTTGCTCTTAGTGAAGCAAATTGTCCTCTTTGATACAGAAAAAAATGACAGTTATATTGCAGGAAATAGAAAAGGTAATAGAGAACTGGTGCCTTTCTTTCTGTAGCCATAGATAAGGAGGAAAAAAAAAACACAAGCTTATAGAAATACTTTTGGAATTTTTAAGACTTGTCATGTAGCCATTATGCCTCCTACAAATCATTTGTGACTTCCTTTAACCTTTCTCATCCTGCTTCCTCCAGTGATTATCAACAAAAGAAAATGTAGAGAAACTGGTGTGGGCCCCACAGCTGTGGGGCCACTCTGTCCATAGGGTAGAATGTACCTAGTCTATCTGTCATGTTATTCTGTTATTCTAGTTGTTATTTACTTTTCAGTTTTATATTGTTAAGTATTATGATGTAAACACCAAGGGCAGATGTGTCCTTTCATGTAACTAGCATAACATATAAATATTAAATTGAAGTGGCGGCGGCAGATCATTCAGAATCTGTCCTTCCTTTCAAACCTGTGTTCTACTGCTCTCTCACTAATCTTTCTCCTCTTTCTTCTTCACTTTCTCTTCTGTTCGAACCTGAAATTCCTTAGTGCCCAAGACTGATAGCAGTCTTGATCATCTTCA